TTTTTTTTTTTTTTGTTTCTTTTGAAGCAAATCTGAAAGGACCAGATCTTGATGCCATTTCGGAAACTCCCTCGAGCACCCCATCAGCAACCAGTAGATCTGATATTTGCAGCACGCCTCAGAGTAATGGAGGGATGAGGACTCATGAGTTTGTCTCTAAAACGGTATTTTCTGGGGGTTTTTTTTCCCCCTGCTGTCTTCTGTTAAATTTTTCTGTTGCTGCAATTTTTTTTTTTATTATTTTTTTTTTTTTTTGTTTTGTTTTGTTTTGTTTGACTCTCCTGTACAGAAGCTTTTGACTACAAGTTTTGTCCCAGAATGTTTTCTGGAGTTTGTCTGGGTTACGTGATATTTTAAAATTATTCAATAACTATTTTTAGTTAAGAGTGAGGCTTCTTTTCATGTTCCTAAGCTCTTTAAATAGGCTTGGGTGTCATACCCAAGCCTAGGATTGTCCCAGGCTTCTGCCTGTGCTTCTCTGAAGAAACTGCTTAAACATGTATAAGATGAGGTTGGAAGTGCAAGTACATGGTACCGACTTCAAACCTTGTTTCCGCAACCCTGGAATAGTATTGATGTGTTCCAAATGACAATATGTTTGTCTTTATATTTTTCTAGGTTATAAAGCCGGAATCATGTGTTCCTTGTGGCAAAAGGATAAAATTTGGGAAGCTGGCCTTGAAGTGCCGAGACTGCAGAGTTGTGTCTCACCCTGAATGCCGAGATCGCTGTGCACTCCCCTGTATCCCAACTTTGGCGGGAACCCCTGTAAAAATTGGTGAAGTAAGCTTCACACTGACAGTCTGGAAATCTGTGGTATTGTCAACAGGCAGCAGAATTGGCCAGTGAAGCCCTCTCAAATTGTAAAGTAAAACTAGATAAAGCTGTCAAAGTTCTTCAACAGCTTAGACCAGCTAAGTGTTAACAAATCCACTCTCAAACATGAAAAGACAAATAGCTATTTACAGGGTAATCAACTGTAGCATTGAGGTACAAAATTGTTCTTTTTATGTTCGATATTGTATTTTCTTTGTCATAAATGGTGTCCATAGTTTACCAAATTTATCCATTTGGGTGTATGCAATTAATTTGTAAGTGAAATGTGCAAATAAATCACCCTCCTCTGATTATTCTGAATGTCTATGTCTATGGTATTTCTTCTGAAATATTCATCATTTTTGTTTGTGTTGCTTCCAGGGAGTTTTGGCAGATTTCACATCTTCTAAGTCACCCATGATCCCATCCATTGTGGTGCATTGCATCAATGAGATTGAGCAAAGAGGATTATCTGAGGTAGGACTAAAACCTTTCATTACTAATTCACCAATTTAGAGCCTTAATACAAAATAAACTGGAGTCCCTCAAACCATTTCCGTGTCTAGGCGTTAAGTTTTCAAGCTGTTTTATATTTCTCTTCTCTCACTATTCAGTCCTGGAGTTCAAGTTCTGTGCAGGCAACGTACTGATGAATTGTGATTAGTGTTAAGCAGGGCAGCAACAATTATGATTATTTTTGCGGGGCCTGAAGGAACATTCTTTGCCCTATAGAAATAATCCTGCCCTTTTCTAGCTGCAGCAATAAATCAAGCATGCACTTTCCTTGTTCCAACACAAAACAACACTTGAGCTCCTAGAACATCAATACGATTGTAATAACAGGCAGGGGTGTTGGGTGCATAACAGTAGGTCCCTTTCAAAATATTGCCATCCTGTTTAATGCTAGGTGAAACAATAGTCTCGTGTATAAGTGGCCCATTTATCAAGGAAAATAAGGTTGGAAAAGTGTATTCAAGATTCACAGAAATATCTTCAATTTCAGTTTATAAGGTTTATGTGTCAGGTTTAATTGTACAATGCAAGTAACTGGTGTTTCCATTAGACTGGACTGTACCGTATCTCGGGGTGTGACCGCACTGTGAAAGAGCTGAAGGAGAAGTTCCTGAAAGGGAAGAACATGCCATTGCTCAGCAAAGTGGATGACATTCATGTAATTTGTGGGCTTCTGAAAGATTTTCTGAGGAATTTGAAGGAGCCCCTTGTAACTTTCAAACTGTATTCAGCGTTTGTAAGTGCAGCAGGTTTGTACATTTTGATTCTGGTGATGAGTTTTGGAAAGAAGAACCTGTTTGTTGAATAACTGCAGATATGACTCAGCATGGACAATCCAATGACAAATTGGTTAACTATATAGTTAGTTTAACTAGTAGAACTTTAACACCTTTGCTAATTTAACATTGGGTGTGAAAACATTTTGCAAAGCAGTCAGTCCATCTAGGAGTTCAAATGTCCTCAATAGAAAGGAGCAGCAAGTTTGTTTTTTTTTAAACTCTGTTCTGGAGCTATTTGCTTTCCCCTGCATTGGAGCATGTGTTTTTCAATTTTACTTTTAAATCTGGCAAGTTTGCTGCTTAAGACATTGTTTGAGTGGAGTTTAGATTATTGGTCCTGTTTAAAATTGGGTATTAACCTAAAGGGGAATTATATGACTGATACTGTGCTATATCATTGTGCTTCAGTCTATTCAGAGGGGAAGGAAATTATGCAGCATATATTAAAACTGGGCTTATTTTCCCTTGGGAAATGTAAATGTAATTCATTTCATGCATTCAACAGAGTTCAGCATTTCTAACTGATCTTTTACCTAAGGGCAGAGATGTTGCACAGCTTGTCTCACCAATGTTGTTTCATTCTATAGACATTACTGACGACGATAACAGTGTTGCAGCAATGTATCAAGCTATCAGCGAGCTGCCCCAACCTAACAGAGATACTTTGGCATTTCTGATGAATCATCTGCAGAGGTATGTTTGAAGTTGTGAACTTGTGTAGTTTAAGACATTCACTACATAAGGGGTATCCAACACTTGGCAACATTTGTTGTGGCTGGTGAGTAGTTGACGCATCAATAATCCTTATTGGTCAGAATCTCAAAAGCAGCCATTTCTCATTTTACGAGCATATGAATTGGGAGCAGAAGCAGGCCACTTGATTCGTCGAGTCTGCTCCACCATTCAATATGATCCACGTTGTGGCCTCCGCTCCAAATTCCCACCTATTCCCCAAATAACCTTTTGACTCCATTTGTTAGTGAAGAATCTGTCTATTTCTCCTTTAAAAATGCTCAATGACCCTGCCTCCTTCATCTATGGAGGAGAGAGTTACAATGACACATGACCCTCCTAGGAGAAACAATTCCTTCCCATCTTTGTCTTCAATGAGAGACCACTCGTTCTTAAACTCTATCTATTGGTTCTAGTCTCTCCAAAAATGGAAAGCATCCTCCCAGTATCTATTCCCATCAAATCCCCTCAGGATTTTGTACGTTTTAACGAGATCACCTCTCATTCTTCTAAACCCCAATGGGTATAGTCCAATCTGTCTGAAGAAAACCCCTTCGTCCTAGGTCTCAGTCAACTGAATCTTCTCCTAACTGCTTATAATGCAATTATATCCTTTCTAAAATAAGGACACCAAAATTATACACAGTATGCTGGATGTGGTCTCACGTTGCCCTTTTACCTTCTCTCTTTCCCTATCCCATTCTTCGTCTTTTCAATTTCTTTGTAAACAAAAAACATGGAGTCAATGCAACTTTGAAACTTGCAGGGAGTGGAGGCAGCAGTGTCAGCGATCAGTGCACTAGTTGTGCAGACGTGGCACCCTCTGCTTGGGAGAGTGTAATCTGACAGGTTCCACTTTGTTTCTTTCATGCATTCGTGGGGTCGGGTTTAAATCTTTTTTTGATGTTGAGCTTATGACTTTGATGAAGCAGAAGTGGTTCCTTTTTATTTGAATGTTCAAACAATAGCTTGATCTCTGAATTTATTTTTAACTGAGCCTAAGAAGAAATAGAACTGGAAAAGAAACCGTTCCAGAAGCTAGAAGATGTCTCTGATAATATAATTATGATTATTGAAGAAATGGCGCTGGTGCCTTACCAATTGGAGAGGTTTTTATTAGCCACGCCCAGACTAAGACACAGGACATGCTAGAAGCTACAAAGAAAAGTCTCTAAGATGAGATCCAGGCTTTGCAAACTTGTGTGGAGCAATTCAACAAGTGTTACCTGACCTTTAAAAGTCCAGCTGTATGCAAAATTCAGAAACAACATTAACCTTGAGCCCAGTGGACATCCGAGTTGTTTATTCTCCCCACTCGTGTTTTGCTCAATTGAACGATTTAACTTCCCAAGTTTGCAAAAAAAAAATCCATCATCATTTTGTTCACAAATGTTGGACTAAATTTTAAGATTTTTATTCTGTAGCTCCGTTTATTTGATGGAAACATTTTTATTATTAGGCTTTAGCTGAATTTCATTGCATCATGGGAATTTAATGTGACTTATGCACCAGTTAGCTGGCAGTATGGTTCTGCTCTGTTCCATTGCTATAAAATCTTGAATAATATTTTGCTTGCCTCATTGATTTGTCCAAGTAAACCAAAAAGTTTGCTTGATTTGATGCAAAAGTCTGAACTTAAGTTTTCTTCCCTCTTAGAGTGGCTAACAGCCCAAACTGCAAGATGGACATAGCCAACCTTTCCAAGGTCTTTGGCCCTACAATTGTGGGTTATTCCACACCTGATCCATCACCCATGTCAATGCTACAGGAAACCAAGCTGCAACCGAAGGTATGTAACTAAACTGTTATCGTGTGCCCCCATCTGTTGACAACAATATTAATGTGAGGTGGGGTCAAGTTTGGGCTTTTAAAGTTAACCCTTTCATTCACATTCCTATGTGACATGCAGAGCTGCTGTTGATCAAAACTTCTGTTGTAGTCTGCAAGCATTCTGACATCGGTGCCGTAACTGCTATATTGTGCAAAAGGTGAAAAGGATGAACTTGAGCCATTCTCTCAGAAGGCACAATTAGAATTTCTGGTGCTTGCGGTTGGAAGTTCATCTGATGTTGGGGCTGTGTGCATCATGTCACAAAAACAGTCACAGTAGTGATCTAGTTTATTGTGAATATTATTGTTTTACCTTTGGGTTAACCACTAACCTCTCAAACAAAAATCTCTCGCCTTGGACTTAATGGTGCAAATGAGTACTCTTTTACGGTCTAGTTATCTGCGACTTTACAAGGCTTTGGGTAAAATGGTAGCAAGCAGTTTTTTTTATTATTGTGTGTCTGTGTCTGTTTTGGAACTGACCAAATCTAAATGCTGCTGCTTTTCTGGTAGGTGGTTGAACGTTTCCTATCTTTGCCAGTGGAGTACTGGAGCCAGTTTACAATGGTGGAACAGGAGAATATCCAACCTAATCGTATCATTGAAAATTCTAATGCTTACAGCACTCCTGAAATGAAAGGTAATATTGTTGGCGATCAAAACTGACGAAATAGCATTCTGACTTGTTTCAAGCTTTGCACTTGACTGTATCTTCTGATATTTCAAAATTATTCATGAGATGGATTTTCCAAGTCTGCTACGGGAAAGATGTTGAACTTGAGAGGGTTCAGAAAAGATTTACAAGGATGTTGACGGGATTGGAGAGTGAGTTATAGGGAGAGGCTGAATAGGCTGGGGCTTTTTTCCCCAGAGCATAGGAGGCTGAAGGGTGATCTTTATAGAAGTTTATAAAATCATGAAAGGCATGGATAGGGTGAATAGCCGTGGTGTTAGTCCCAGGTTAGGGGGGCCCAAAACTAGAGGGCATAGGTTTAAGGTGAGAGGGTAACGATTTAAAAGGGACCTGAGGGGCAACCTTTTTCATGCAGAGGATGGTATGTTTATGGAGCAAGCTGCCAGAGGATGTTTTGGCGGCGGGTACAATTACAACATTTAAAAGGCATCTGGGTGGGTACATGAATAAGAAGGGTTCTGAAGGATCTGGGCCAAATGCTGGCAAGTGTGACTAGAGCAGTTTAGGGTATCTGGTCAGTGCAGGCGAGTTAGACCGAAGGGTCGGTTTCCATACTGTATAACTATGACTGTTAGACCACTTAGCTAGGTACTGTTGTCAGTGGACCAAGTTGAAGACTCGGCTTGTGACTAAATCACGTAATCTTAGTATGATCCCATGATGTGTGGTGACTCCATCTTTCAGTTGAGACATTGGACTAAGCCCTGACCATGCTCTGTAGATCCTGTTACAGTATTCAAAAACCAAGGAGTTGGTTCTCCTCGTAACCTTGCCAACATTCATTCCTCAAACAGCAGCACTGTTCATTTTGCTATTATTATGGTATCTTGCTGTGTGCAAAATGGATGTTCTGTTTAATAACTCCATTGCCTCTGCCAGTGTAGTTCATGCAAGGCACTTTGGGATGTTTGTAAAATTTGACCGGCTGCTACTGTTGAAACTATGACAATTTTTTTGTTTCTCATTTTTTGGTTTGGAATGGAGTTGAAATTAAGAATTGAACTTTGAACAACAGCTTGCTTTAAAAGGTGCTAATTAGAAATAAACTAATAGAATCGCTGCAACAAGTTGACGAGTATTTTAATTTGCTGTTGTGAAAAATATCCAATATTAATGCACTTGTATGTATATTTGTTAAACCATTAGAATTGTGGGTGGTAAGTTAATGTCATGACTCTCTCCAAAGTAATTATGATTTTAAAAACTCCATTTTACAACTGTCTCCTTTCATTGTTTGAAACGAGAAGCAGAATACTTTGTGGGGATAAGTTTTTCATTTCATTTTTGATGTCTCTCCAACTTCGTATGGTAGTTAAAATTTTCATTCATCTATGAAAATTCAGCATTCCAGACCCTCAGTAGCACCCAGCACTGCTCCATAGATACACATGGGAGCATAAGCCACTTATCATGGAGAAGTGTTATTACTCAGTATGCAGAGACTGTACTTGTATCACCCTGGATCCTCCTAATCCAGGAGCATCCAAGCCAGGATTATGCCAGGCACTACAGGTCTTTGGACCAGGTTTTACCCAGGAGTATAGATCTGTCTGCAAATGGAGCTGCTCCAGGACATAATGGCCACCCATGTGCAGCTCTGAGTTAGTGCAGTCTCAAGGTAACTGATCTTCCATGAAAATCTAAACCTAAACTCCTGAGAGTATCTGGATATAAATTATGTTTTGGGTCTCATCTTTCTTTGAAATCTAATTCTTCATTTTCTTCCCAGTGAGCATGCTTGGGCCACTGACCACTCCAGAACATCAAATAATTGGCAAGACCCCCTCGTCCAGTTCCTTATCTGCACGAGTCAAATCCAGTCTGACCAAGACCACTCCCAAGTAAGTACATCTCTGATCCTGCAATCTCGAATCCAATGTAAGAAATGCTGTTTAATTACCATGTTACAGGTGCCAGTTTGTTTATTTTCGGTTGCTCCCCCATTTACCCTTTCCCTGTCTGATAACACTGTCCTTTCTGTGTCACTGGATGGGAACTGCTGGCACTGTCTGTGGGTGTAATCACATGGGCCAGAGAAATTCAAGAAGGCAGCATGCCACCACCTTCTTGAGGGTAGTTGGGATGGGCAATAAAGTTCTGGCTCAGCCAGTGACAGCCACGTCTTGTGAACAAAGGAGAGAAGGATGTTGCGATTTACTTGAATCTCCCTCGATCGTGTGTGTGCACTCCCTCCTCTCTCCCCTCCCCCTCTCCTCTGTCATGCGTGCACTACTTCCCCGCACCCACCCTCCCTGCTGCTGCACCCCCATTCCCCCCACCACCACTACTGCGCACACGCACTCCCTTATCTCCTTACATCATCTTCCCTGCCCCCAGATGGTTTTGGTTGATAACACCGTGCATTCGCCTTTGTCCTTTCACCATAACGAGTTGGGCATTGCTATAGTAATTTCATCATTCAAAGCTAAAAGCTAGGATTCTTTTTCCCTGAGGATCCTTGATGTTTCCATTCATATTTTGTAACCAAATCATTTTCAAAATGAGTGTTCTCAATCACTGTGCAACATTTACACCGTTTGGGTCTGATTGCAAGTTCTGCCTGTGCCCAAATTGCTTGATTTAAGTTGAAGTGACTTGTGTTTGTTCAGCTCTATAACTGTCTTGCTGCTTCTACATTTGAGGGCATTAAAGTTTTTTTTCCACCTGCTGTGATAAAATTTGAAACCTTGCTATCTGACAAGCAAAACTGCGAACAATTACCACCAAACCCGTTCCTTCAATGTAATATTGTTAAATGTTTTACAGGTTTGGAAGCAAAGGCAAGTCATCAATCAATTTCAATCGAACTGGAAACTTCTTTGCCTCCCCATTATTGAAATAATCTCACATTTAACCAAATAGCCACAAAAATCAAAATAAGCTTCCCTGGAATTTCGCATTAAACCAACAAGTGCAACCTGCAGGTTTTTTGTATAACAATCTGCATCATACAGTAGTTTTAATAATGTGTAATCACCAGTCTAATCCTTTTAAATATAATGTAGTTGACGTCTGTTATTAGAGATGATACTTTTTTTAATGTTTTGAGCCTATTTTTAAGTAGATAACTTCTATATTCCAATTTGTAATACTACAGCTTACCAGTATGATGGGAACATTGAAAGTTTAATTCTGTAACCTTTAGACTGGCAACTGATTTGAAAAAAAACATTGGTATGTGTCTCAGAAATACTAAAAGCTCAAAGTGAAAGATTATTTTACATAGTCAAAGATTGTGGGATCTGTTATTACAGAATGAGAAATGTATGGGGGATAACTGAAGGATTGCTATAATCCACTAATTATATCCAGCTGACTGAACAATTCTGCCTAGCATTGATCTGGCTGAATTTTTGTATTCTGCAATTTTCTGCCTTTTGTGGAGCTATTAAACCTGTACGAAAGATCTGGGCTCTTTTTATTTGTTTTCTTTGTTTTGCTTAAATTTCTTGTCACTTTGGAGGTTAATTTTTCAGCGGTAACCAATATGTACATAGCAGTTTTGTATTGTTAGCAATAGACTTGTATTCAGTGGCTCCATGCTTTAGTGGGAGTCCACTACAAGCCAAAAATGCCATGGAATGAGTTTTGTGGCGCAGCCTGACTTCTGCCAGCTTTTAACCTAGTTCATTGTGTTGACAATTTTTAATCCAGTTACAGAACAAAACTGGTTTTAAACCGACGTATCTTTGCTACAAAGCTGTGCTTTGATACCAGTAGCTATCAAGTAAAATGAATCACCAGTAGTATTTTTAGTATGAGGTGCTCACAATCTGGACACGATAGAGTATTGTCAAAGAACTTGGTTTTATAAAATGCATTTCAAATTGAGTTACCTATTTTGTGTATCCTGTTCTTGGCAAAGAACTGGGCATGGAACTCTTCAAATTTGGGATTACCATGGCCCTTTCAGTGATTTAATAGAGGTTCCATTGTAAAATCTTTGTAGATTAAAATGTATGTGCTGCATTTTATTTTTGTTGGAACATAGTGTTTAGACAAACTGGATATAAATTTGTTTTCTAAGCCATTGAAAACCATTTGGCTTGTGTATGCATGTAAACGTTAACTTGTGATCCATCTTGAAGTGCAAAATTAAATTGGACACAGACGAATGCAAAGTGCTGACCTTGGTTATGGCTTGAGATATGCCTCGATATACATTGAATAACTTCACAGAAGTATTCAGCACCAATAATAAAATAGAAAATTACGACCAAAAGTAGAAGCATGTTTCCAACTAATAAATTTGTATGTCGTGCAAACTAGATTTTAAATTATAGATTATGGTGTTATCTAAATGTAGCTTTTACAGAACATGTAAACGCATCTATTCCCTTCAGCTTTTTTAATATTCCTTTTTATGCATTTGAGTGGTAACTATTGTAAAATATCATCTGTACCAAAGACTTGCCTGCCTCTCTCTCAAATTTGCCTTCAGCTGTAAAATCCTTGCTTCATCAGCGTCTGTTTATAGAACTGCAGTGAAACCTGTTTATTAGGCACTAAATCCAAGTGAAAACTCATGCGAGGTGTCAATATGCAGCTTTGTTTTTTTTTTCATATTGTTCAAAATTGAAACCCACAGGATACCATAATTTTGTTTGAACTGTTTTTTTGAAGTGCTTGCAACCATTTAAGGATGTAAGTTACCAAATCACTGCAGCTTTATTGATGCATATTACACAATATATTGTAAGTCATTTTCACTGTATTGTTGTGTAATGCATACTCTTCTGTTTCAAAAGCTTCAGTTAAATAAGTGCAGTGATCAACTCTGGTGTTTTTTGTGTATTTTTTTTTAAAACTGCGTATGTGAATTTCAATGGGTTCATGTGCCATCCCGACTTGGAACTATATTGCTGTTGCTTTGTGATCACTAGGTCAAAATCTTGGAACTCCTTCCCAAAGTGTACTGTGCGTGTATCTACATCAGAGGGACTGTAATCGTCCAAGAAGGTGACTCACTCCCACCTTCTCTAGGGCAATCAGGGATGGACAATAAATGCTAAGCCAGCCAGTAATGTCCATATCCCTTGAATAGGTGGAGGAGAAAAGAGACCTCACCCATCCATGGAATCTCATGGCTTCTTTCATATAAAGTGACATATTGTTTCTCCTTGTTTAAGCAAATGCACTGAAGTGTCTCTGCTTTTAGTCGACATGTACTATTTGCACGTGGCTATTCACCAATGACAGACAGGATCCTAAGTATGGCTTTCCTAATTAGTTTTAAAACCCCAACACAATGCATACAGAATTTAAATGCTTACAGGGAGTTGTACATTATCTCCAATCTTGCAACACCAGCAAAATTCTACAGTATTTCCAATTGTAGAAATAAAATCTATGAGTAGCCTTAGATCATTCAGTCACTTGTGCCTGTGTTACCTTTTCAGTATGATCATGACTGATCTGATTGTCACTTTTGGTATATTTTTCTATCAGTTGCCAGTAACCTTCGACTCCCTTGTAGGTCTGAAATCAAAGGATGAATGATTTTAACTAATTGCATACGTGCATTACAATATAACAGTCCCAGTAGCCCACTTGCGCAGTGGATCATTTTCCAGTTTTATTTCAAATGAAATATATGTAGTCCTTACATATGCTGAAGTTCCTTATTAGGAAGGGATAAGGCCTTTAGCTACAGCAAAGCAATAGGCCCAAGAGGTCCAAACTGACATTTATGTTCCACACGACCTTTCCCCCCACTTATTTAATTGCATCTCTTAACGGCCTTGGCTTGCCCTTAAATGCATCTGTTCTATTTGCACTGTATGAGAGTGTCAGATTTTGACCACACAGTAAAGAAGTTAAACCAATCCAATGAGGAATTCAAAATCAAGACTCCGATAATTGTGTCCTGTCATGTTGGACTCCTTCCCCCCATTTCATCCTCAGGGGGTGACCTAATGGAAGGGGTTTGACAAGGTAGGTACTTCCATTTACTATGTCAGAAGAGTATCAAGCTGTTCAGCTTTAATTGATGGATGTAGGTTCTAAGTTTTGATGTCAATGTGGAAGTTTTTGCAACTTCTCCAGAAATCCACTCAAATGTTTTGTTTGCATTTTTACATGTGCTTCCACTGCTACTTTTGATGATTTGTGAATCTGACCCCTTTAACTTTCTTTACTCCCCTTTTTGGGCACTTAGTCCCTAAGGAGTATGTTTTCTTATTAATCACTATAAAACCACCAGCTCACTTACCCATATTGAAATTCAACTGCTTTAAAATGGTTGCCACAGGTTCTTTATAGATGAATTTAACAAAAGAAGTAGGAAAAGGTAGATCTAACTTAAGCAGTTTGCACCATTGAAGGATAATCCTGTCGGGTGAGGGTAACTTTATCATGATCCTTTTCCCAAATTTTTCTTGAAGGGGGAAGGGGTGCAGTGGTTTGTATTCTGAGATGTACTTTCCCATTACCTTGCTCAGTTACAAAATTGCAACCTGCTCCTGAACCCAGCAAACATTTCAGAGCATGGTAACTAAACTCACAATGTTTAAAGTAAGACCACCATTCTAGACAAAAGTCATCAATAAATGCACAAAGCAAGTGGGAAGTAATAGAAAACTTTTTCACCCAGTGAATAGTTAGGGTATAAAATGTGCTGCCTGGAAATGTAGTGGAGGCTAGTGCAATGAAGGCATTCAAGAGGTGTATTGGATGATTACTTGGATGAAAATGATGTGCAAGAGTATACTGGGAAAAAGAGATTAAATGAGCATCATTGTTAATGAGCTGAAGAGTCTTCTGTGCCATAACACCTCTCAGAAATGTCCCATATCCAATTATTATATTCTTAAATGTGCTCAATGTACACCTCTTTGAGCAGCAATTGACATCTTCATACAAATTGCTTTAAGGCATTTTTTAGGAGTACTTCTTAAACATCATGTCATTAAACTACAGTTCTGGTCCAAGATGGCAGCGAAGTAGGGTTCCTGTGCCAGAGCTTGTCCATTCCAACTGCGTTTTTTCCCCCTCCCCTCTTTTTCTTGTACTTATTTATCTTGTCCTGAGCTTGGACAGTGGCGGTGAGAGCCCAGCATGTGGAACTTGAGCGGCCACAAGCTGGGCCCAAGGAGTGGACTTCGGGTGAGCCTACCGCTGACCTTGAGCTAGGCTCAGGGTGCAGACCTCAAGCAGGGCCAGCACAGAGGCAAGTGAGCCACTACTTACTTTTCTAGAGCAACACAGGACCTGGGATAGGCTGCTGCTAAATCGGCAGAGGTGACATCAGCATGGTAGGCCCAGCAGCAAAAGATGGCACGTGAGGATTGGCAACTTTGTTGGTTAGGTCTGGTATTGGCTGCGAAGCGGTAGCAGAAGGGTATTACAGCAACATTGATGACGTGGGCCCAGCAGTGAGAGACACGACTCTGGCGTTGTTGGGTCTGACACAGGTGGCAGCAAAGCAGTGGCAGAGGAGTATCAGACCAGCAGCAAAGATGGGGCCAGAGGATCGATGACTTCGTTGCCTGTGCCACTATTCTTCCACCACCGTCTACACCGGACACAACCACCATTGATGAGTTAGCTCAGGGTTGATGGACTCTCTGCAAGCTATAGCATTCTTTTCTTTTTCCTTATTCTTAAATTATTCAAAATGGTGCTGTTTCATGGTAGCAAATGAAAGCTTTTCACTATTGTATTCTTACCATAAAATACATGACAATAAAATCAAAATTATCATGACTGTATGTAAATGCACCATTGTGTGGTCCTGAACCATACAAAGCAGGAAGATTCTGAGTTTGGTCTATAGTCTCTGTTCAGTCTAGCCATTGCTGCTTTTAACAATTGTATCTCTTACCTAGGGTGGGATTAAAAAAAACATCCAGGTTTACTACAAGGAAATGGAAATGATGTCACTCTGTGATGCAGCCTCTTGTTTCTGAGGTTATTATCCTGTAGGTACTCGCATTGAGACCAATGTGGAAAAATAGCACTTGGATGAAATGCTGGTGTGTTCGTACTGAGTGTGGAATAGTATCCCACTATGAAATGATGCTTCCAGCTAAGAGGATAAATAAATCCGAAGCATTATCGAAGTGGTTACCCAGAGTTTCATGAGCTATATTTAAGGATTTCTGCTGACTCTGGTTGATCTTGCCTACATCATTCTGACAGGATTTGTTTTCAAGCCTAGCTAACAACTCTTAAAATGAAGTGGGGCTTTAACTGTTAATATAGTGTCATAGAGTATACAGCATAGAAACAGGCCCTTTGGCCCAAACTGGTCCATGCTGACCATGGTGCCCACTCAGCTAGTTCCAATTGCCCGCATTTGGTCCATATCCCTCTAAACCCTTCCCATCCATGAACCTATTCCAAATGTTTTTTTTTAAATGTTGCTATTGTACCTTCCTCAACCATGTTCTCTGGCAGCGCATTCCA